AAAAATATATTTGAGGCTGAAAAATGCATAATTTAGAGGGTGCAGGAGGCAGATTACATAATGAAATGATGTAGGACTCTTAATGATCTCTGTTTAACAGGTATGGTTTTCTTTAAGGTTGGTCAGTGGTTGGTCCTGCCCCCCCCCCTTTTATTTTTTATTTTCAGAACTGCAGTACACAGAAGACTGCAGGAGCCGCTTGGACTCTCAGAAAGATGACCCCAAATGACTGGGGCTAGGACAGGAGGATCCTAACTGAAAATGAGGCACCCTGGTCTAAATCTGTTGCCTGAGCTCTAGGAAACACACACATGGATGAAAACTCTTAAAATTAGTACAATACTAACAGCTGTATAAAAAGTCATTAGTAACAGGTGTCAATATTATAGTATCTCTTCAGAACAATTGCTCTGTGTACCTACATGATAAGGAAAGGCTTTATTGTAATATACCTGCATCAAAATGATTCAATTTGGCTGTTACACATTGAAAAAGTACTCCTGGAAGGTCTGCTTTTCGTTACTACGTGCCTGGGTTGATGGATAAACCAATGTCTCAGAACAGTGCTATGCTATGATGGTGGAGACTGAGGATCTCTGTTTTCCTTAAGAAATGCTAAATGAATTCTAAATTATAAGATCTATTGAAAAAGTCACTGTGAGGCTAAACGTTGTGCGATCAAGACCTCTTGAGGAGGCTCAGGAGTTCAAAGCCAAGTTATGTGACAATGTTGGGGTATTAGAAGTGCTAAAAGGAGCAAGTTTGAGTTTAGCGAAATACTGTAGTACAGACGGTGCGTATAACAGCCGCATCGTACAGCCTTCCTGTTGAGCACTGGCTGCCCTGTGCTGTGGGAAGCTGACTCTTGCCTCCAAAGAACTGTTGGATTTTTGCTTGGTTTGGTGGGTAACATAAGGAAGGAGTTTTTACGTATGAACATCCCCAAACTTTGGGAAAAAAGTTTTAGATTTAGGCTGTGTTATTTTAACTTTTTTCCCTTTCACTCTAGTGAGTAAATGCCCCCAGGGCTGAATACTCTTCAAGTACAAAAAGAGCATAGGATATTAATACAAATTCAAATGTATAGATCAGTGCATGTATGTATTTGAACCAGTTTGTTTTAGAGGCATCCCCTTTAAAAAGGCTGTCTGCCAGTAACCTCTGAAGCACAGAAATTTGTTTTAATTCAGAAAAATTGGAGAAGGGAAGAGATTTTAATTTTACACTGATGCAGTTCATCTTATTTTCCCCCAAAGGACACCGTGGTTTAATGGATGGGGCTTTAACCTACCCAGAGGTCAGTCTTTGCTAGACAAGTGGAACCTTATTCCTGAGGGAATTGATATACTAATGACACACGGACCTCCCCTTGGTAAGTGCAACAAAAGCTGCGTGTGATTTTTTTGTATGAGAATTTTACTTTCAAAATAAGCAAAAATAATAATGCTATAAGCTATACTGTAATCACATCCTGACTCAAAACTATGAATTAAAAAGCGTTTTTGGAAGAAGTGTGAAGTGATGACTAGGCTTAGCAGATCTGTTGAGCTTCCAGGTGTTTTCTTAATAAAAACTAAATTTTTTGTTAAAATCAAGCTAGGGAAGATCAAATATCTGACTCCATAGCCATTATAGTTTGACATTTTATTTAAGAACAGTATTCATCTCTGACAAACAGTTTCGAATCCCATATGATTTTCAGAGATTGACTAAAACTTTTAAAACATTTTTCCACTACAATGACATGTTTCCTTAAGGTTTTAGAGTATGCAGTCAAGAGTTCAGGAGTATGTAGTCACATATTCTCCTTGATAACATCCTTGTAAACGTAGAATATGTAACAGTAGTTTTAAAGATATTAATTGGCTTAATTAATAGCACAAGTCTATGAATGCATAATTTTTTTTTTCATTAAGGAGTTAAAGTTTTTCACTTAGTTAAATTTTGCCTGCCTTGTAAATATGAGTAATTCACTGATCCCCATTTTAATTCTAAGTTCTAAACTAAGTTCTGGTGGTCTCGAAAAGACACTTAAGATGATCATTCAGCAGAGGTAGGAGTACTCAGTTTTGGCATATCTAAAGTCATTAAAGCCCACATTTGAAAATGCCCACTTTTTTTCCCTGTCCCGTACCCCACAAGACACTATCGCGTATTGTTTACTGCTTTTCTTTAAGACACACGTGGCAAGCAGTCTAGTACCATATTTTAAATATTTCAGTTGGTTTTACAGCTGAGCATCTGCCTTTTATAAATATGGCTTACCAGGATAAGAAAGTATGTCAGCCTCTTCTTCACTACCATTATCCTTAGTAGACTGTGATTTTGTCAGGGTTTTAGTAAGCCCTTGAAATCCAAGTGGTCAGATCACCACATGATCATGTGAAGTCACTGACTTTTGAGATGGTAGTGAATGTAAAAAAAAAAAACCTTACGAGAATTGCAGGGTGCCATTATAAAACAGCATTTAATTGCTTCCAGGCTGGCTCAGTGCTCTCATAGAGCTTCTCAGTGAACGTGGAGCCAGGAATTAATGCATGCTTATGTTTTGTACCACAATTAAGAGTCAGCAATCTAAGCAGAGCTAAGGAAAAAAAAAGTCTGGAAAGTTTTTTGACCGGTAATATAATTTCTGCTCCTTTTATATCCTGGTTACTCTTTTAATACTACTTAGAGAATGTTGTAAGGTGATCTGCAAATTCTCTTTAATCTTACTAGAGCTACCAGCGTGCTGCTTTGATAAAGCAGCGATGCACCATCCACTGACAGTGGAGCGCACCGGATATTGAAACCCAAGGCTTTGAATAGCACTCTTTTAATCTGTTTATTTTCCCAAAGAAGCAAAAAACCCCACAAGCGTGTTTAGAATGTTTCCTGGGTGCTGTTTTAAATGGGTTGCTAATCCATCTGCTCTGAATTGGATTCATGTAGAAATACTGTGATGCTGGAGACAATAATGAGTGCTTTAATTGAATAAGCGTACTTAAATTTTGATTTTGATGGAGGTCATGAAGTTCAATTTCAAAAGGTTGGCACCATATTTTAACTACAGACACAGATTATGTGTTAGTACTGTGCCTAAAAGGAAGGGGTCTAAGTCTCAGCCTGCACGATAATATTGACAAAATGCTGCTTTTTAAATTACGTAAATATTAAGGGGAGTTAGAGCTGTAACTGGACTCTTTGTTCTCTCCAAAATTCAGTCAAGTTCATGTCACAACATGTTTTTACTACCTGGGATAAACTTGGCACAGGGTGTAATTACTTTAAAGTTAGTATAACGGTGCTACAGTTGGATGTGGCTCCTGGTTTCCTTTTTACTCCTCCTTATGCTTCTTGCCCTGCTGATCCCTATCAGTGTTAGTCCAGGCAGCAGAGTGCTGTAATAACTGAGGTCAAGTTTTGTACATCTTCCCATATTATCCATAGGACTGAGTGGCAACGTAGTCAATTAGCACTTGCTTGTTAGAAGCTATTTTGCTACACTGCTTGTTGTTGGTGACTGGGGACTCAGAAGTAACCTGACATTTGCAGACCGTGGTCCTCTGGAAGTTGCAGGAGGCCGTATTGTAAATCTTCGGGGTGGCAGAGGTATCGGGTCATAGATGAGCTCATCTTTCAGAGGTATTTTGTTTCTGGGGTAACCACCTAGCTGGCTTGGGAAGCTGTCTGCTGTAAGAGCCAGGGGAAAGGGAAGAAAAATCTGCAGCAGTGCCGGGAATAAATGTCCCAGTGTTTCAAGGTGGAAGATGAGTTCAAACCTATAGTTTAAAAAAAAAATCACATCCAGAAAAATATTAATGCAGATGGAGGGAGGAAATCTTAAAGAAGACAAAGTGACACTGAAACATTTCTTAAAAGCCATTGTGTGCTTTAATGGAGAGGTTACGACTACAGGTAATGTAATAAACCTTCCGTGAATTATGACTTCCTGAAAGACTACGTGAAACCTTACCTGAATAGAGAAAATTAATAGTATTGATTGCATTTTGCCTTCAGGTTTTCGAGACTGGGTTCCAAAGGAGCTGCAGAGAGTGGGTTGTGTGGAACTGTTGAACACGGTGCAGAGGCGAGTAAGGCCCAAACTCCATGTCTTTGGTGGGATTCATGAAGGTAAGGAGCAGTGCTAGTCCTCTCTTCAATCTCAGGCGGGTTTCAAAGAAGTGTGGTTCAGTGGTGTATTGCAAAGGATGGATAATGGCATATTGGACTAAAGTAGGTAGGGAATTGAGGGGAGCGATTGCATGCACAGCACTTCGTAAATTTATGCCAGAATTAAAACAGACTGTTTCAGGAACGTGTGCTACATTTAGCCACCTACATCTTTCACTGTGCAAAGGTAGTTCTATACAGGTTATTTGAAAGCAATTCAAATTTTGACAAACTTGGTTAGAGAAACAGATGAGATTCCCCACACTTGCAAGCCAAAATGAAAATTATCCCCATTATTCCAAGCACAGGAGCCAAGAAAGGTGCAAAAAAAGAAAAGAAAATCAAAGACAACTTACTGTATCACCTCACCTCCCTCAGTGTATAAGGAAGATCGAAAAGGAGGGCATCTTGAGTCAGACATCAGGAAGAGAGGTTGCCAGAACTCACTTTGCGTACATTTCTAAAACCATCCTGTAATACAGTTTGTACTGTGCATGTTACCTTCCAGCAGTCTCATATTTGAGAAGAGATATTTCCCCACTGCCAGTACCAGATCAGGCAGAGTATGAAGCTTCAGAAACAATAACCTCTGTTTGTGGCAGTGGAAGAGACTGAGAGATTAAATCCATTTTGGAGATACTTAAATATTTAATACAATTTTGTAGCTTTCATGTGGCCGAGAGACAAACACTAGGATTTCTGCCTGAGAGAGTGTAAGACTATGTGACCCTAGAACTCAAAATTACACATGAAATACTTTATATTGTCCCCCCTGGAGGTTTCTGCATTGACTCTAATTAGGTTCTCCATAGGCTTAAAGATTTGGAGGATTTCATAAAAGAAAAATAAAAAAAGGACAGCTTTCTCAACTAGTGTTGTTGGTTTTTCTGAAGCCCTTATGACTTCATGCAATGAGTTTTGTGCCTGGTATCTGTAAATAACGAGTTTATAATGGAAATATTGACATGACCTTAAGTATAGTGGCATGAATAGCAGTCTTTTAATGCACCTAGGAGCCGATTGGATATTTTGTATAAATATTAATCCTTGCATATTAAGAATAAGTGAATACAGCAAGACTTCCAGCTAAAACACGTAAATTGTGTACAGCCTTTGTCGGCACATTGGATGATGAAACGTCTAGTTGTAGTAGTGTTAAGTAATGGGAGAGGAAGGTATGTACGAGATCATTATTATGAGAAAGCACTGAGGAACCACGTGCAGCACCTTACCTTTAAATCTGATAGGAAAGGTGGTAGCACATATTAAAAGTTCACGTTCAAATACATTCTTACAAGAATAATAACAAAAAAGTTAAAATCCCGTTTAGTACTTACGCAGAAGACATGAGAACGGCTTGTTTCAGTACAGAAAGAAATAGCCAAGTCTTAAGAGCATTAATTCTCATCCAGCTCCAGCTGAGATGAACATGCACCACATTCCATTAAATCAGCAGAGGCTATACACCCGTTTTGGTGATGCAGGTTTTTTTCCTGGTTGATAAGCAAGAACAACCTCAAAAAAGGTTTTTCCCACCATGAGATGATCTAAATCAAAATTGCCAGTCTAAATAAATAAAGTAATAGAGGCGGACAGTGCAGCAATTCTGAAGTGATTATTCTTTCTGATAGACACTGTGGGTAGCTGTATTTATCTTAGCTTTCAGACAGCGGTGATCTGTACTGTATCATAATGGTTTAAAAGAAAAACATTTTTCCCCCGTGGGTTAGTGATGGGAAGTTCTCTTCCTCTGTGAAACTCTGAGGTGGGGTTTTTTTTTGTTTTGGTTTTTTTTGTGTTTGTTTTTTGTTTTGTTTTGTTTTAAAGTACATTTGGTGCCATATTCTTCCTAGATTTTTTTCTAGCTTCTTTATTAGCTTTCTGTTGATGTCAGCTGAAAACAATGGCAAAGCTTTCCCTCACCTTTTGCACTGGTGGAACTGGAGCCCCTGTCTCCTTATCATTGAGGGAATGTCTGTAAGAGGAGAGCTTCTGCCTTCTCAGTATCTCTGTACTTCTGTTATCATTTGTTTTCTCACATCACATTTGCTGAATGAAGGCTCAGGTGCGACTCAATTCATGGGTCGCTATAGTTTGCTCCACTGGCCCAAAAGTACTGGAGTGCACAACTCTCTGTTATGTCCTATTCCTGTGCGGTAAGTGGGGGAGAAGATAGAGGCCAGCAGAGAAAGAGCATTGCTGCTGGTTCCTCTGGCGCGCTGTGAACAAGAGCATTGCTGGCCAGATGTGTAGAAGGTTGACAACAGTCTTCAGCGTCCTGAAAATGATGCCATAGTGTTACTGAGGAGTCAAGTCCTTGGCATACTGAAAAACCTCTGATTAATATTTGCTGCTTCTTGCTTTTTTTATTTGTGAAGGAGTTATCAAGATCCCTTCGTGATGAAAAGAAGTCATCTATTTAACCTTCACCTCTATTTTCTGCTTAAGCTAGGGGTTGTCCACTGACCTCCAGTGCTCTGTTGTGTTTATAGCAGGAGATACCTTTCCTTAGTCGTGTTTTTCACTGGTAGATAACACACACACACACATATATAAATAAAGTAAATATGTATGTGTGCATATTTTTAACCTAATAATGAGTTTCTGAGGTTTCACAAGCCAGCGTGAGCACTGGCTTGGCAGTCCTGTGGTGGGGAACTGGATGATAAGGGCTAGCATGGGGAAAGCTTACCGGGTTCGATTCATTGCCCAAAGAGGAGTTTTTAGAGATGAAATCAAAGTTACTTCTAAATATTTTGCTCCTGATTGGTCTTTTTCTTATGACAGACATTATAGGCATGCAAACTACAGCTCACTAATTAAGTAATTAGAAAAAGTACATGTGTGGTTTTGTCTCTGTTTCTGCTGTATCCAGTTGCAAGAGAAGATTTTCCGTGGGGGAAGCAAGTTTGCACGTAAAAGCATCAGTTCTTACTTCAAATACAGTACACTGTATTTTTTCCAATCAAGCCTTTGTGGTAGCTTTCAAGAGCTTGTATCATTTTGAGGGGATTAATCTAATTTTATTCCAAAGCATTGATCCCAGAACAGGTTTTCAGTGCAGCTGCCCACGGGCAGTATCGTTTGTTTATATTACAATAAGTGTGACACATTCTCCCTGCAGGTTATGGCATTATGACAGACGGTTACACAACGTACATCAATGCTTCAACGTGTACAGTCAGCTTTCAACCAACCAACCCTCCAATTATATTTGACCTTCCAACCCCTCAAGGATCATGAAGCACTACTGCACATTTGGAACTGGGGAAGGTCTATAAACTGCCATTTTCTAATTATAAAACTTACATTCTGTTACATGTTTATTTCAAAATTGTCGGGGGGGTGGGGTGGGATTTGGGGGAACTGTGGGGGTTTTTTTGGGGTGGGGTTTGGGTTTTTGGGGGTTTTTTGTTGTTTTTTTTTTCTTTCTCTTTTTTTTTTTGTAAATTGCTGGTACAAAAGAAACAAAAGTTAGAGGTTGTGCTTTTTGGAAATGCAGCATTCATTTCAAATTGATAAAGCATTGTGAATTTGTAAAATGAATTTTGTTTTTCAATAAATTTGCCATTGTAAATTGTTATAGTGTTCTCAAAAGGACAGCCAAGCTTTCTTTTAATAAGTGAGAGACCTTATTTTAATATTATATTATAAGCTAAAAAATAGGCAGCATTTAAAAACACCCAAATTTGCACAACTTACGTTATTGTCGGGGTTTTTTAAGTGTCTTCTTTTTCCCTAGGTCTAAGTGTTAGCTTTTCATCTCCGTTTATATCAATTTTTTTTAGTAGCACAAACAATATTTTGGGGTCCATTTACCTCTTGGTATCTGTGCATGTACTGGAACTTGTTTCTGTTAACAGTAGAATGCAGCAAGGGGAAAATAGACTTCTTAGTTGTTTGTCTCTACCTGCTTTATACGTTAAAGACTGATGTAGATAGCCACAGCCTGTATGTGATATCTACCTTTTATTGTTTGTTTTTAAATTATTTTAGCTTTAAAAGACTGGGGGTGAAAGCTGCAAAGAGCAGGTATTTCATGCAGTAAAAAAAAATGTAAATGCGGACTCCTTTTAAATATGAATTTATATATATATGTATTTTTTGTGCATTATAACTAAGCTAGGATTTAATATTGCCAGTATAGCATCTGCAAAATTATGCTGTACAGCACATCTAAATTACGAAGGATGTGACACATTTTCCAAGTGCTCAAGGCCTTCAAGAGCCCGAGTTAAATCTTTGTCGTAGTTCAGGCATGTATAGAGTCAAATGGATACAATCAAGCCTAACTAAAATAAGGCTTAGTTGTCCTTTATATTTAAATATTCTTCTTGTCTTTTTATTTCCTTTTTCTTATTTTGCACTGTGTGTAAATGCAATCTCGCTAGCACAAAATATTGTTGCAGATAGTTATTTCTGTTCTACCACTGTAAATGCTATTGAGCTTTGTTCTGTTTTATGTTACCTTGTTAATGGAATTTAGAAAAGCAGTTGTTTCTTTAAATTTATTGTGATATTATATCTAGCGGCCTTTATATGCAAATAAAATTGCAAGATTTTTAAATACGTGGTTTAAGGGAATTTTGCATTTTTCTGTGGCAGTAACAATTTGGGGAGGCAGTGAAAATGGTAAGTATTTCTATTTCTCAATAAATTTTTATTGCTTACCATTCACAGGATGTCAGTTGGGTCGATAAAGCACTCAGACTTCTTCCGTTCCTCTGCCATCCGTCTCCCCATTCCTTTTCGACAGATTTTGTCTTCAGATGTTGTAATTCAGTGCAACCAAATTTGCACAGTTAAGCCTTGTGGCATACTATTGCAGATGACGTGAGGAAAAATTGATTAGGCAGTAACCTTTGTGCTTCCTCACTTGGTCATTGGTACTGCACTGCAGGTGCCTTATGCTCATCCGCTATGAAATGAATCGTCACAGTTAAGAAGTGAATAGTCATAGATGAAATATATCACTTTTTACCTGGATCTTTTCTCAGTTTTGTGGCTACAGGTGGATCCACCACTGGCAAGAGAATTGCAGGGGAGTGTGGTTCAGTGCATGCCAGTAGAATGGCAAACACAACAGGACCTGCTGGTATTGCTGCAATAAAGTATACAATAACAGAATCTTGTTCAAAAGTAGAAGTTATGGCTGTGAAAATCCAGTTTAAAACATGGGAAGTAAGGCACTGTTTTCATTAATCCGCATCTGCAGTAACATGAAACAAGACCTGGAGAGCCAGAGAGTAGTCCCATTTATCGTAGCAGGTTGTTAACTTTTGACAGGATTTGATATAAAGGTTATAGACAACAAATTCTAGGCTCTTACAGCAGAGTGCTACTTAGAGGGCTGCTACTTGTGTATTCTGATGCAGTGCTCATTACACATAACCACAGAGTTAGGCTGAAATTTTCAGATTTATAAGGCTGCTATACCAAAGTCTTTCTTTTCTGGGAAAGAAGCTGCTGTACCTCTTACATCTAGTTCTTGTTTTGTATGTGGATTTCTTGTCAGGTTTCCTTATGGAATAGACAGGCACCTTCACTCTTTAGTGATATCTGCCCCGCTTTGTTTGCGGTGCTGGTTATTTTAAAGAGTCACCAAATATCAGTCCTTCCTTTTGGGTGTAGATGCAGGTTCTGTCTTGTGGGGTTTTTTTCCAGCCAGCAATGGAAAGACTAAGGAATTGGTTTTGGCAACCGCAGCTGTTTACTGGCAAAGAATGTGGCTACGTTTAAGATGGCTGCCCTTCCTCAGATAAAGCATTTTCTTGGAGCACATAGAAATCATACACCTAGTGCACCTTAGATCATTCTCTTTCACTGATCTGTTGCTTGTTGTTACTGCATAAGGAGGAAATATCCATCAGCTGGGATGCTTTGTAGCGCCATGAACTGCCAGATGAGCAGGGAATAGCCACTGCTTCAGGATTGCTCTCCAGCCTTCTGAAGGACCTGGCGCCTCTTCACTAGCTAGGATAGGTATGGTCCATGGCACCAATCTGTCATTCTCCACTTCAGGTATCTGCGTCTAGTCAAAACTGGGTTATTCCTAAAGCAAAAATTTTAAGCCAGCAGCTTTGTTCCAGGATTTGAGCAGCCTGAAGCCTTCTGGCAGCAGATGGAGCCAGATGAGTAAAGGCTGGCATAAGTTCAGCCAGGAGTCTGCCTTGGGTAAGACTGGTAGTGAGAAAATACCAGAAGCAATGCCTTGAAGAAGCAAAAGTCTGTAGCAGACTTGGCAATAAGCTATAAACTGGTACATGTAGCTGTAGATGTCCTAAAGGTGTGTATCTTTCGGTTTCAGCTGTTTGCCATGTGCCCTGTTGGCTGTGTGGTGCAGCAGGTGTGTTATCAAGTGGTTCTGCACGGGGATATGAGGGCCTGGATTTGTAACAGCAGGCTAAGACTCTACTTCCATTTAGCTATGCATCAAGGACAGTCGCTGCTTTGTCATCAGTTGATGCTGGTGCTGAATACAGCTGTTAATTTTGAGAAATGCCTAATCTTCAGGGTACTTTCTACGCATGCATTTTCTCTTGTATTTTTTTTTCTCTCTGGCTGTCAGCTTCACCTTGTATACCACTGGTTGTTCAGCACTGAGCTTGTTCTTCTCTGTGGCAGGATGTTTTTAATTTTATTCCCTTAATTTTCCTTCGTCCTTTCAGAAATTGATCTAGCTTTTCCTCTTCTGGGAAAGCTATCATTTTGGCTAGCAGCTATTATAAAAAGGCCAGGAAAACATTAGCAGTTTGGCATTTTTTCTTTCTGCACTCTTTAGAGATTTCGAAATGTATACATGTCTGTCTTTGCTGTCACAGGCAGGTAATTTTCCTTTGCTGGATGTCAGCCATATCTGGCAATCAGGGTAAATGGGACACAGTATGATTTGAAGAAGTTTGATTTCACAGGGAGGCAAAAGTGTGATGAATCTGGTTCTTTTCAAGGATCCTTCACTACTAAAAGTAGCTTGATATCGGTATGCAGACTAAACCTTGGATAATAACTCTTTCTCCAGAGTCTGGTCCAAGCCCGTTGAACTCACTGGGAGTCTTTCTATTGACTTCAGCTGGCTTTGGATCAGACACCTGGCATCTATCTGGATTGTGTTTCTGTCTATTACTCATCCTTCAAACTGGAGGAGATGGTCCCTGGTTAACATGCAAGAACCTCTTGGCAGGAAGAGGGACCAACCTATTGTAAGTGCTGAATCTTTCCAAGTGATTGATTAACAGCAGCGTAGTCGATTAACCTTTCTTCTTCTGAGAGCAGCTTTCATCTAGTCATCTCGATAAGGCTGAAAGCAGTCAAGGCCTTTATCAGGGGAGGGCTGCAGAACAGGATGTTCCCCAGAGGTGATTGGTTCCCAATTCTCTCTGCATAGTGAATTTAGTGAATTCAGCAGACCTTGAGGTCAGGCATTTATTAGGCTAAGAGACTGTCAAATCAATCTGGTCTACTCCAGGCAAGTTCTACCAGGAGAATGAGTTTTGCCAAGACTCTGTCTAAGAAATAGATTGATGACTAACTCCTGGTTGAAGCTGCCTTTCTCTTTTCCATTTTCCGTGAATCAGATTTTTTCCCCTCATTGACACCAATATTTTCTCCCTAGACAAATTTTATTAAGGAAACTCCTGGAAACCATCTGTAATTTAAGTTGCAGGGAGACTTCCAAACTCTGTAGCCCTTCCATTCTGTGTTTAATTGACCCAAGGGCTTTCTTTGAGACCTTGTTTTTGACCACACCTGATTGAATTACGTTTCTGGAATTTTCTTTTCACCCCTTCTTTTCGTCCACCCACACTTTTTTTTTTTAACATACACTTTTTCTCACATTTCTAAACAC